ACATACATACATACATACATACATACATACATACATACATACATACATACATACATACATACATACATACATACATACATACATACATACATACATACATACATACATACATACATACATACATACATACATACATAAATTACATACATACATACATACATACATACATACATACATACATACATACATACATACATACATACATACATACATACATACATACATTACATACATACATACATACATACATACATACATTACATTACATTACATTACATTACATTACATTACATTACATTACATTACATTACATACATTACATACATACATTACATTACATACATACATACATACATACATTACATACATACATACATACATACATACATACATACATACATACATACATACATACATACATACATACATACAACATACATACATACATACATACATACATACATACATACATACATACATACATACATACATACATACATACATACATACATACATACATACATACATACATACATACATACATACATACATACATACATACATACATACATACATACATACATACATACATACATACATACATACATACATACATACATACATACATACATATACATTACATACATTACATACATACATACATACATACATACATACATACATACATACATACATACATACATACATACATACATACATACATACATACATACATACATACATACATACATACATACATACATACATACATACATACATACATACATACATACATACATACATACATACATACATACATACATACATACATACATACATACATACATACATACATACATACATACATACATACATACATACATACATACATACATACATACATACATACATACATACATACATACATACATACATACATACATACATACATACATACATACATACATACATACATACATACATACATACATACATACATACATACATACATACATACATACATACATACATACATACATACATACATACATACATACATACATACATACATACATACATACATACATACATACATACATACATACATACATACATACATTACATACATACATACATACATACATACATACATACATACATACATACATACATACATACATACATACATTACATACATACATACATACATACATACATACATACATACATACATACATACATACATACATACATACATACATACATACATACATACATACATACATACATACATACATACATACATACATACATACATTACATTACATACATACATACATACATACATACATACATACATACATACATACATACATACATACGAGAGAGGGAGATTGGGGAGAGAGAGGCTTGGGGGGATGGGGAGGATGGGGAGCAGACGGAGGGAGAAAGGACGACAGAACACACAAGGGAGACAAGGGAGAGAGGACGAAGGAGAAAAGGGAGAGGACAATGTCGGCGGACTGAGCCGGAGGCTCTAAAGTTTCATGGACCAACAGAGTCCAGCAAAGAGACATTCTCAACACCCTTTATCTAAATGGCGAATCAATCTCAAGGTGCACCACGAAAGATCCCAGAACTACATACATCTGCTGAAAGCTCCGTGCCTGCGTCAGTTGGCGCGAGGCAGGACAGGTCGAACATCCCGGTGCCTCACTGGAATCCGGAAGCGTGGTGCCAAGACCAATGTTCAAGCTTTTGCCTGCCGCCAAACTGGTCCCACAAAGTAGACAAAGTCCAGGAATCCAGGGAGTACATGATTGACGCGTCCGCGAAACACGGCTGTGAGGGTACCTTGTTTGGGAATGTTTTGCAGAAATACACTTCAAAAGGTGGCCCGCATGCTGTCCCGCAAGCAAGCAGCAAAGGCCTCTGAAAGATTTGCCGGGCCCCTTTGTCAGTCTGGCTCCAACCCCCAAGCGAGCGACTGAGTGACAGATTCAAAGGTCGCCCAACCCCAGTACACAAAAGGGACCGATAATAGGGGTTGACTGGGTTGAGTAGAAACCCAGCGAACAAAAAAGGGACAAAGGCGCCATTGAACAACTTGCGGCAATGAGACGGCGAGCCTTCAGCCGTCGTGTCTATCCGTACCTGTCCAGCTGGCGCATCCAACACCTGAGCCGCGACAATAGCTTCGCTCATCCCTGAGAAAGAAGTGTGTGTCTGTGTGTGTGTTGTTTGTGCGTCTTTTTGAGTCTACGGCTTTTTGGGCTGGTTTGGAACGGACGCACAAAAAGGTTTGATCTGACACTTCCTGGGCTGCGCAGCCACGTTCTCGAGTCACTTTCTTTTGCACCCACAAGGGAGCCTGCGGAACTTGCAACTTGTGACCGATTCTCAGGTAACAAAGGTCCCCCTCTTTAGGCTTTCGCATGCTGAGAGGTCATTCAGGGCATAGTCTCAAAGGCGACCCGTGGAGCTCGATTCTCTTTTGCAGCGACGACGCAGATCAAATGAGACGACACATTGCCGAAACCGGAAGATATCCGAAAAAACACAGGCTCGGATCAGGTTGAGCCCCTTCCCAACGAATCTGCCCTAGAGGAGTTCACTTGCAAGTCTCATTTGCTGTGCACCTGGGATGACATCTGATTTACACCACCGCAAATCAAACCTGCACCCAACACAGACTTCCCCCAAAAGGAGATTCCTTACAAACAAGGTCTTGTGGGATTTACGTTAACCGGCGTACCAGTCATGGCTAATAAAAGCGGAGGTAGAAGGACCCTTGAAGGATACAGCGAAAAAGCCTGCCTTGCAAGGGCTTGCTCAAAGTCAGCTGGTGAAAACTACATCCTCTAAGGGATTCGGAAGTAGCGCAGCATTCACCACTACGTGCAGCCGAAGGGGACTGGAAAACATTTGTTGGAATTTTGATTTTGAAAGGAAATCCACCCAACACAATGACAGGTCAAAAAGCTTCATGTTTAGAACCCAAACCTTTCCCTTGACAAAGGCAAGTAGATACCCACGGATTCCACAACTCCCGGCACTCTTTAGCCTGGTCCAACCCGGGGATTCAATCGATTTCCACCATGATAGTCACTTACATTTGTGAATGCGTCCACTGGGAAAAACGAACAAATATGCCCAAGCCCACTCCAGGTAACCCTCCCCCCGAAGCAAAAAACAAGTAGCACCCCTTCCACCAACAAGGTAACCCCCCAAACAAAAAAAGTGGCCCTCTCCTCGAAAGAAGGGAACCAGTTTCCAAGAAAAATTGGACACCCCTGCACAAAATGTGATAAAAGGATATGAAATTTGAACGTTCACATGGGGGGAATCCACAAAGGGGCATTTTGGGGGCATCAAAAGCAAGACTGCTGTATGCATGGGGGGATTCCCCAGGGGCATCGAAAGCAAGGCGTCAGCTCGCGCTTATCCGAGCTTCGCGCCATCTCCTTCTGGTATGCGGCTCGAAGGTGCCGCACAAAGTCCTGGGACGGACTCTGCGCTGCAAAAAGGAGTGGATCTTCAACCCACTGAGTAGGCTACAACCATGGCCGAGGGGCTAACCCCAGAAACACCGGTAACAACTACATCTATAGGCGATAGCCTACTATTATGTGGGTTGAACATCCAAGCAGGGTTCCTTAAAAGATACACTTGGGACAGTTGAATCTTTACCAGCTGATAAAAAGGGAAGCATTTGAAAAACATACTGTGGTTCTGGGCTGGGAGAGGTCAACATGGCGCGAGGAAAGAGAGTTCAGGCCATATGCAACTCCAATGTGGCCTGCTCTCTCCAGGCTGTGGGAGAGTAGCCCCTGTGAAACAACGGACTGCCGGACCTCCAGTGGTCATAGGAAGAAAAGGCATCGCAGCCCAAGGTTTTCAACAAAAGTCCACCACCTGGAGAGAGCAAGGAAATGTACTTCGCATCTGCAGATTGCCGTGTCGAAGGGTCCGCACGATACTTTATGGAGATCTCGTCAAGCGCCCTAAAGCCAATTTGTGGTTGACCTATGAAACCGAAGCAAAACCTTCTGAACAATGCTCCTTTCGGAAGTGGACCTTCCAGTGAAGTTCCATGGCAGTAACAGAGGGTGAAAGCCATGCGGAGGAAGCCGTTGGGGTTTGAGGGTTTGATGTCCTTCATGATTGAATTAAGCGTGTCCCATGTCAGAGGGAAGCCTTTTCCATAGCACAAACTTCGAACATGTACCCATAGAACGATTGTCTGAAATCGCTACGCAAGGGGTCTGAGACATCCCTACCAAGCTCAAGCAAAGGGGCTTTAGAGCATGGCAGTAAGCTGTCTATGGAAGGCACAGCTTTCGGCTAGCTTCGGCTTCGGAGTAAAACATCCTTAGCAAAAGCTTTAAAGGGGGATTGCCACCGGCCATCCCTTTCCGATGATAACATGTTGACCCTGGGAATGTATGAATAGAAGGGTGTCCCTTTTAAGAGGAGGTCCTTTCTCCTTTTTGGGGAAACACCTCCTGCTAAATCTCTGCCAGGTTGATTACACCGGGGATGGCATTATGTTTAGTGCCCTGTTTGGTTCAAAGCACTTGGTTCAACACTCGGCTCTCGTGCGGGTTTCAGCTACATTGTATTATGCTCATGTCCTAAGCGGATTCCAACAAATGAGGGAAAACAACTACTTGTTTGCCACTGAACTGGTCCAAGCCCAAAAGCAACGAGTCTAATGTTGACCCCCTGTTTACCAAACAACCCCCCCCAGGTACTACCCCCCCCCCGTTCCAAACCACCCCCCCTTCCAAGGTACTACTCACCAGGTCCCCCACGCCGAATGGCCCCTTTGGGGCCGGGATACCCCTATCTCTCCTGGACCAAGCGCTGCGCATCCTCCTGGGGCATGGCCTCACGAGCCGTCGTCGTCTTCGATCGGCTGTTTCGTCCAGCTTTCGGGGGCGCAGGCCGGAAAGTGCCCACAAAACAGTGAGCTATTACTTGCTATTACTTGAAAGGCCGGAAATCGGCTTTCGGGTAATTGCTATTACTTGCCGACAAAACAATGAGTTTCCCTTTTGTAGGGTGATGTGCTTCAGGGTGGCGATGTGATGTGTTTGAGGTTCCACCGGGTTACCCTCCCACCCTTTGCACATGGAACCTGATCCCTGGAAAAGGAGAATGGTCCAAGCTAGGACACCCAGAACGTCAGGCTGCATGTGCTAATTGGTGGGAGGGTAAGTATTACCCAAGGAAACCTAGTTTGGGGATGGGTAACTGTTGGATATTTGGCCAAAACCCCTAGTTGACACCCTGCGCAAAGCTGGGTGACATTAAGCGGGTTCCAACAAATGGGTTCCCGGATGCTACACGCAGTCCTTTGGCGCAAGCGATCGGAAGCTGACTATTAGAACCCATTCAACAGGCCCCCTCACTTTTGAGCTAAACAAATCTTAAAACACTGTCCCATATGTATAGATCCCAGCGACCAAAGGCTCGGATAGTCAGTCGCGCGCGCGGGTGTGAGTGTGTGTGTGTGTGTGGGTGTGTTGCGCGTTGTGCCTGCCGCAGTATGTGCGATAGAAATCCCCTCTTGGTGATCTGGACGGTGCTGACAGGGGCGAATGGCGCTGCCATCTTTCATCAGGACACAGCCAGTGACCCATCCACATGTGAGGCATGCGTTTTTGTTGCCATGTCAGCTTTGCATCAAAGAAACCTCCTGCAAGCTCACCCAGACTAATCCAAAGATGCAATGAGTCTTAAACACGCTTTGCGGGATGAGGCACAAACTTCGAGCTGGAGAGAAGTGTTCAACTTGGCAAACCCATGCGGGCATGTGTGTGTGTATACAGTCGGCGGATCCATAGCCATGCGTGACTTTGGGTAGTGAAGATTCACACGGTGCAACAAATTTGACAAAGAAACATAACTGTACAAAAAGTGAAAGGGTAAGCCGGTAAGCGTAATCAGTGTCTCCTTCCAAGGAACGCCTGCCGCAGCAGCATGCTGCATGACCAGGCCAACAGCATGACCAGGCTGCATGAGCATCCTTGTTCCAGTTCCAGTTGTGGAGTGTTGTGCATGCGTATGAGTGTTGTGCATGTGCTTGCAAAACGAAAAGTTGAATTATACATACCTTATTGTCATCAATCTGCTGTTCGGAGCAACCCTGTCTTAGGCCTGAAGGGGATATCTGAAAAAAAAACCATAAAGTCAGAACAAATACATGGCACTGCTCAAATGATGGCGGAATCCGCTTTCACATGCAAACGCCATGCTTCCTGTACTATTTTTGGACTGACAAGCATACCCTTGGTCTCAAAAGGAAACCGCAAGGATAGTTGTTTGGGTGTTTTCCAGCCGACAATCCATAGCCGGGCTGTCCTGAGATCCCCTGCTAAAAGTTTAAGTCTTTGTAGGTTAAATGGAACCCCCCCACTAAACCAACTAAGCCCAAAAAAAAACTAAAAACAACCAAAAACACCTACGGGGACGGCTGGGAACCAACCAGAGTGGTGGCTCTTTGCTTTTGGCTCATCGCCTCCAGGCTCGCAACCCTCTTGCCTTAATGGCCAGTCCTTAAAACTGGCCTTTGGGGGCGAGCGAGTGCTGCACAGTGCACTCGGAAAATCCCGGTGGGCGGCAAGAGCGCTCGCCCGAGCTCGCCCAATGGCATCGGAGTCATCCGAACCAAAAGCTGAAAATGACAATTTCCTTGGGGAAATGACCTGCAGAGAGAAACACCATTCACTGGTCGGTCTTCTGGAGCACTTCTGAAGTGAGAATTCTCAGTTGCCCAGCGGCCCGAAGGGTAGGCAGTGAATCTCAATCCCTTTTTGAAGTTGATTCGCTTTAGGAGATCCCGAACACACCAAAAAATTGACTTCATATCAATCTAGTAGGTTCCGCGCTATTGGGTGGGCCGGAACCAATCCTAGAAAGTTATCCCAAAGATAGTACCCACAAAACAACGCACCTTATTTGCACCTCAGCAGGTTGACATGCAATCTAACAGTGCATCCCTTCTGGAGCAATGAGGGCGTAGAGGATTTAGAGCTGCACATTCTACACAAATTCCAACACCCCTAAAACAACAAGGATCCGAGAACAAAGGACCTACATCCAGGATCAGCGAGCTTGCCAGAAGCTTGGCAAACAGTTGATGCCACTGAAGAAGTGGGAATCCTCCCTATTGCCTGCAGGAGTGGAAACCCGTTGTTGACCTTCTTGTTAAGGAACTGAGGGTGATGGTCGTAAACTATGTCTTGCGGTACCCAGTCGGTTATCACTGGCTGGCAACTGGGTCCGGTTCTCTTACCATGGAGCTGACCTGCCAAAGGAATTAGATCAGGTTATCCCCTGGCCGCAAAGCTTGAGCCAGCGCCATCTCAAAGCCAGGCACGTCCACTCGGACCAAGTTCGCGTCTCCCTTATGCCGAAGGAGCCATACCTGGGCAAGGATCCAACCCCAGCTTCATGTTTTGCCGTTCAAAAGGGCAAAGCGTGAAGTGTTTGCTTGATTCAATAACAAGACAGTAAACGGGCAAGGCAAGCTAACTACGGCAATGAGCAGGGGAGGCACAAAACAAAAATGTCGAGAAGATGAACGCCCAAAAGGACGACTCACTTCTTGAATGATTGGCCCAAGCAAGTGTGAAATGTTTGTGTACCACCACTTTGCAGAAACTCAGGAAGTGAGACAAGGAAACCAGTTGACAAACGCGCAAAATCGAGAAGGCTAAGTCTGGCAATGAGTCACGATGAAGTAGCGGATCCAAGGCGTTCCACCCTGCAAGCGCCAATGAGTCATTGGCCGCGGCAGTTTCTTCTTTTCCACCTCTACGAAGCACCCGGGTATCTTCCTTGGCGAGACGGATCACGGCATGCCCCAAAAGGGATTGATCATGTTTGGAGGGACCTACTGGAGTGCGCCAAAAGGGAAACAAGCGGAAATCAAACAGACACGATCCGTGGCAATGGCTCCAGTGAATTGACAGCTTGCCTCCAAGGTTAGCTTGTCGCTGGTCAAAAGGAAAGATATGAAGGAAGCACCAAAGGCCAAAATTACTCAAGTCCGGCAAAGCTTCAGGGTATCCAAGGAGCACATGAACTCAATTACAGCTGGACGGGACAAGCAGTCCGATGCTCGCATCCACAGCACATTACTGAAGCCTGTCCCATGTGGGCCGAAGGCCAAATATGCGGAGTTAAACAGCCTATACTGCTCCTCGAACGTCATGGTGACACCCTTCTGGGTGCCATTGAACACAACGATTTGGTCAGACTTGTTCTGTGCGCGCAACGCGCCCTTGGCAAGGTTCACGAGTTGCACTGAATCCGCTTCGCTGAAGAGTCGCCCATGAGTTGTTGCTCCACGAATCCGCTGGTAGTAGATGACCTGAGTGTCGGGATACGGGGGCCCCCTATTTTAGGTGCAGTTGTGTTACTGTTTTCCCAGTTAAACCAAACTTAAACAGGGAACCAAGCCTCGATGAATTTTTAGCACGCCCACCTTGTCTACTTGATGCAGTTGCTTCCGCTGAAACACGAAGCCGCGCAAGGAGGTCATCAGCGCAGGTACCCGAAGCTGTTCGGGGCGCAAAACCTCCTCACCCGGGATCATCAGCAGAACGTCATTCCTCGACCAAACGTCTACCCATGAGAAGTATTGGCAGTGCAAAGGTGAAACGCGGGAAAACGCAAAAGGGCAATCGGGCAAAACGGTTAATTGTCTCACTTCCTGTGAACGTTGTTTCCCACTAAAACAGTCCACACCCAACAAATATACAGTCCAAACGCAAGGAAAGTGAGGTTAAGTCTGGCAATGATTCGTGGCACACACCGCCGTGCCGGAAGGCACGAGAGTTACCCTTTGCGCCAAGTCGGCATCAAGCCAGGGCAGAAAGGACTCCAACGCGCCCTTAACATCACGCAGAATGGCGATCTGAACACCTGGGTACCTGGTGGCCACCCAAACGATCATGGGCATTACCTTGGTTGCTCGTCTCAACTGGCAACAAGTTACACAAGCTTAAGTTGCCGGTTGGGAAAACAATCTCATGGCAAAAGTCCAAAGGGCTCGCGGTACCGCAAGCAAGTTGCATCGAGCAGGACGTGACCGAACTGAAAGGTCTGCGGAGTAAAGCCCCGGTACACAAAAAGCGGCGTGGAAATCTCCAGATCGCAAGACTTTCCTGGCTTCAGGAAAGGCAGGTAGAAGGGCCTTGGCAGCAAATCCGTGCCATTGAGGCTCTGCACCCTCGTCTGCCACTCCAAGCCTGTGTCGCCATAGTCGCTCCTGGGAAACCTGAAGCGAAGCTGAGAGAAGTTCTTGATATGGAACGCCTGCTCCGTCGGTCGGCGAGTTGTGGCCAGTGTTTCTGACATAAACCTGGACCAAAGCTTCTGCTCACGTGACGAAGCGGGGCTCGCCAACAGCGCCGCATCTGAATTTGGGCAGTTCCATTCGTCCACGCCACTGCAAAGTAAAAGACGTGACAAGAGTATCCATCCGAGCATGTGGCTGACCCTTGGGTTCTAACAACCGCCCGACATCGGACCCCCCTGACTTGGACCTTCGGCTGGTGTTAGCTGCATGGTGAGATCACCTGCCGTGGGCTGAGCACCCCAAGCAGGGAACACGTAGCATAGCATGTATCAATACGTAGGGGCAAGAAACCAAGTTTGTCATGGAAAGCTGGTCCATGGCTTGCTGTCCTCTTGAGAAGGCCTTATTCTGAGGATGTTGAAGCAAACCCATGTTGGAACATTGGGCGAATGCCCCCCACCAAAATAGATACCCTAAAGGCCGCAGGGATGGTTCAGAAGGCTTGTTTGCGGAACCTCAGGGTTCCAAAGGCAAGATCGGCACAAGGCGGGAAAGTGGTCTTCCGCGGGGCAGGAAGGGAAACTGCGAATAGTCCTACAGGTCATGACTCCTGGTGGGATGCAACGCCTCGATGCTAAGCCCGTGCAAATTGAGGGGTGCGAACCTAAGCAATCAAATGATCGACTAATCAATCCCCATTTCAGTGTGGGTCAGGAAAATGGTACCCAAAATGGCACCATGGTAAATGGAACCAAGGACTAAACCCTGCGTGACCCTAGCTTTGTTAATTTTGAGGTCAACTGTTCTTGACATGCGCTGACTGTTTCTAGGCTTGTCCTTGTCAGAAGGCTAAACTCATGAATCCGGTCACAGGGCGTTTGTCGCATTCGGACCGTTGGATGTGTGCAATTCTGAAGCGCTCCCCCATGCAGTTTGCTTTGGAGTTACCTGGGTGGATCCAGAATCTCTCCAAATGAAGGCAGGCATGACTTGGATTTATGTACACTCCCAAACAAAGGAACCAATAGAATGCCTCATGCATTGCCTCTCCCCGCCCCCCCGCCTGGCAACAAAGGGGGGGCTTCATATCGCTGCATGCGCAAATTGAGGGCATGATTCGCCTAGCAATGCAATACAGTATGTATAATACCAGAAACATGCATTCTCACATTCCGAGTGGATTTGTCAAACACATCCTTGTGTTGCTTGTCACTAGAATGCTCTGCCCTTGAAGACCTGCAACTCAGGAAGTACATTCTGGCCCCCTCTCAAAACCATCAATACCCCTCTTGCACAAAACTCATCTCTGGTGCCTCCCAAAAAAGGCTGGCCCTCTTTTCGTTCAACCCCTCACCTTTGTTGGGGTCATAACCAAAAAATGTGTGACACAAATGGCGCCGGGTCGGATTGAAAACACCACGTTGTGTTTGTTTGTTTTCCCCAAATGGAGGCTTGGCTCTCAATGTGCACCGAAGCTCTGCAGGCAACGCGGCAAGAAAACGGCGAGCCCCAACCGGGAAATCCGAAACCTTCCAAGCTGGGCATTCCAGGCATTCTTCTGGCAGGGCGTGAGTGATGGGAAGCTGGTGCCTGAGTCGCCAGCCGGCTCGTTCATTCAAGCTGAAACCTAGGATGCGAAGCTTTGCTTTTACCATCTGGTCAATTGAAATATCACATTATAATATCACATTGTATCACATTATCACATTTTACCATACAGGAAGCCACATTATATCACATTATGGTATTGTTTTCGGTTGGGGAGTGATGCATACCTCATACAGTCTTACCCTTGACTGGGTTGATCAGCTTCTGTAACTTGAAACAATGTGAGGGGTAAATCAATATTGAATGGATTAACCTGTCAGGTTGATTCGCCAGCAGGAACAGATCCGAAGCAACACACAAAACCCCGGTCTACATACAGAAAATTGCTCAAGTGGCGGCTCAAGGAAACTCACCCTGAAAATGAATGTGCCACTTAACCTCTGGTATGTAATAGCAAACGGCAGGTTTTCCAAAAAACAAGAATGCAATAAGTCGCAAAACCGAGGACCCCTTTGTCTGAAGGATTCCCCATTTTTGCGCTACTCATAGGCTTACAGGCGGGGCGTGCTCGCCTTGGGCACTTCAGTGGGACCTGACATGCGGCTCTTCTTCGTACCGAAGTGTGTATACCAACGGCCAGGGCAAGAAATGAGTGATGAACCAGCACTACCGAGCCGCAGGGCAAGCCGTGATATACTCAACGCTGCAACTATGATGTGTTCAAAGTCACCATTGTCGTCGAGTCTGCGAATTGCACGGACAAGAGAAACGATGCGGTCAGGAAGGATTGAACATCCCAGAAGACAAAGATAATAATCTAGGCGTGCGGGTTCCGAGTCTGCTGGTTCTGGTATGTCATGTTCTTTATCCGTGAATATCCGTCAGGATCTAAGGCTGCCACACAGCGACTGCTGCAGCACAACCAGGACCTGCCGCTGGCAAACCAGCTGCTGGCAGAAGCAACCCTGGACCTGAGGCCTTGACAACTTCGGGATTTGCTTCTCAGACTGAGCACCTCCGAATATGACCCTTTACACATCGGCCCAACAGAAGATCATTTTTAGGGAGCCCTGCCTTGCTTTGGAAGAAGGCTAAAAAGGCAGGGTCCATCAGGGTCCCCTGAGGTACCCCTGCTTAAGTGTTTGCCCCGAGGATGTTGACCCATGAATCCATGCAGGACATGCCTCACCTGAGTGCGCTGGAAATTCTCGCTCCATGGTGGCGGGAAGGGCAACACCGTCAACACCCAGCCTCACTGGGAAAAAAACAAGTATACGAACGCACTGGCTTTCGACATGTGAGACTTTCACAAGGTAGCCTGGAGCCTTCCAGATTCCCCTCTGGGCATACGCCTTGTGCTCAAGCCTTTGAGGAATCCCTGAAGCGGGCAGCTCAGATGCCTCGAAGCCGGAATCCATGACATCTACCAGCTTCGGCCTCAGCGCGTAGAATCGCGCTGCGTCAAAACAAAAAAACACAACACGGCGAGTACAAATTCCACTGATTAACATGGAACCTGAGGTTTCGGGGGGTCCTGGAGAAACCATCTTCCCCCTAGAAAAGGGAGCCCCTGTCAGGTGGGAGCTGTAGATGCGCAAGGCTCACGACTGCTTGGCGCTGAGCTGGCTGTCGTCGATTTCTTCGCCTGCAACTGGATTCAACGGATATCCACGCATACGGGGGGGGGGGCCCTCATTCAAGAGCTGCCTCACATCCAATGCAAAGCCATCTCTTGGAATCGAAACTTGTTGCCGCCAATGTTAGGCCTCCTAACATGTTTCGCATCTGGCACAGCTCACCCCAACAGCCATCGCTTTTTCAACCTGCCAGAAAGCTTGGCCATGCAAGTTGAGTGTTTGAGTCAAATCACCGCATGAATGAACCGGCTCCGTTAAGAGTTGGATAAAGTCAAAGTTACCCATCCTCTTCTTGTCCATGTGAGGCACTAAAAACTCATATAGCACGGTCGAGCTGTGAGCCGCTCGGCCTCGGTTCCTTACACGGAACCAGGGCCCGGGGGAACGAGATAAACCTCGGGTCAGTTTTATCGGGGAAGCCACCAAACGAAAAGGGGAATGGGTAGCACTGAAGAACTCAGGGCAAAAATGAAATTTCCGGGGAGTCCACACTTCACAAGCCACTTGTTGATGAACAGTTGGAGTAGTCGCCAATTCAATTGCCAGTTTCCTGGTGTCGAATTCATTTGTCGTGAATGTGTGCAGGTCCTTTGGCCAAAACTTGCAAAGCAATCAATCACACCCTCGATGGACCAAGGCGGCCCGTATTCACACCAGCTCCACCGCAATCCCATTTCCCCCGAGAGGTGATGTGTTGGACGATAGCCAAAGGGACTCTTCTTCCTTTCTCTAACGCCCATATTTTCCCACGTTGAGCCACTGGGCTGGCCCAGGTTTTAACATCCATTTGAACTCAGCCTTCTCTCTCGCTCTCTCTCTCTCTCTCTCTCTCTCTGTCTCTCTCTCTTTTCCTCTCTCTCTGAGTCTCCCTCTCAAGCATTTTAAGCGGGCTTCGCTCGTCCCTGATGAGGGGTAGGGGATAGCCATGCGTGATACCCTTTCCAACAGGCATTGAAATTGACCAGGGGCAGTTTCTTAAGGATGGCAGAATTCCCAAACCCTCCTTCCATAAATGATGGCCACAAAAAACTGTGATGAAAACACCCCGTGGTGAGACCAACATCCATTTTGTGTTGGGAATCTCGCCTACTTGTCCTTGAAAGACTTTGACCAACCCGCAAACTCACTCGGCCAGTGAGCAGCCAAACAAAAGTACACTTTTGGGTCACCACTAACCTTAGGGGAAACCATCAAGAACAAGCTGTAAAGTGTGTCCACTGTCTGTGTGAGCAAGTGACCCCAACCACATCCAATGGCATGGGCTCAACCATCCGGTGTCCTTCAGGCAACACAGCTGGGTTCTTCAACATATGCTGACTGCTGAACTGAACACATGGACTCTTTCCCTGTAAGGCTATGCTGCAGGAACCTACATATACACACGTGGCCTATGATTACACACATACCCCAAGAATACATCCATAGGTACACAAATACGTGTATATAATATATATATATATATATATACATATAAGTATTATTTATATTATCTGTACAGATATGCTTCGACAGCCTATGCACGTATCAGCATGAACAGTAACCTCATGTACATGTGGTGTACCCGCTGTAGCTTGTGCACACAAGTGCAAATGAGCACGAACATGGTTTAACAACTTCCAAGCAACAATGACATGTGTGATATTGTCTGTATAGCGTCCTGGGTCTCTCTAATGGGAAGCCAAGTGCTGACGCCCAAAGGGACAGTTTTCCCTTCTCTCCCGTTGCTAGGCCCAGAACCCAGGATTAACCATTCCCTGGTTGATGAAAAACGGGGTGTCCCTGCTTTCAGCGGGAAATCCACGCTCCTGTTGAGTTCCTTCGGTTACTCTAACCATCGTACTCTTCAAAAACCAGCTGGTTTGCCAGGTTTTTTTTGCGGTTTTTTGGAAAGAAGGCTCCCTGTTGTTTCAGGGGTTTTAGCGGTTTTTTCTGAAAAGAAGGACCCCCGGAAAGAATGGGGACGCTCCCCGTAGAGTTACCTTTCCGCTCACTCACATCGCCTGCCACATCTGTCCAGAGCTGCAGCTTCGCAACCTTTTGGGCGAAACAAAAACTCCCGTTGCCCCGCCCCCACCAAGTTGCAACCGTCTCTCAAAATTGGGGGGTTGCTTTCCTTTGGCTTCCCTTTAAATACCAGGCAAAAGGGGTCCAGTTCCCAGTGGTTCAGCGAGTTACCGGAAAGGTGGCAAAAGACTTGGCACCCTTTTCGGGGTTGAGTTTTTTTTTTGAGGCATCAAACGTGAAACGACAAGGGATTTGAAGGGTGCACTGAAATCCTGGGAGCTTCTATCAAGGTCCCCAATATCTCCCCCAACATCACCCCTACCAAGGAAACTCACCTTCAATGGACCAACAAGGTGATGCTCAACGGGTGAGGGTGCAGCCCTAGAGATTCGGCTTTTTTGGGGCTGTTGCTGTTTGGTTGCCAGCAGAAAGATGCAGGCTGGGTGAAACCATGGCACCACAAGGGAAATGGGGTTGACGGTTGACTCTACTTGCTCATTGGCTCGAAAGGTAGAACAGTGGACGAATTCCTTAGTGACAAGGAGCCAAACAACAAAGGATCCAGAAGGAAAGGGACCTTGACAGGGGGGTGGGAATGCTGTGGACATCTAGTCTATTTCGCAAGCCTGAGCCCTAACAACCAATACCCAAAAAGAAGGTCGCGGCCAAATCAAATGTGGGTGTCCACCATCCAGTGCGAACACACCTAAGAGGACTCCGAAAATGGTGTCCCTTTGGTTCCCAAAAAAGGCAGTCGTAAAGAGGGACCCTCAAAAGACGGGCTCCCATGTGTCAACCAACCATTGGTCCATGTGCGCATGCTCAATGTTGGGCGGAAACGCCCCACATAAGCTCGCCATAGGTGCGGACAAATGGGCATGATTGGGCTTTTCACGTTCAACCTATCAAACATGTTGCCTCAGCGATTAAGGGTGACTTTCAGTTGGCAGCCCCCATCAAGAATCAACTCAAGAGCGCAGGGAAGTGCAAACGTTGTAAGACAACCCCAGCCTTGGGCCAAAACGGCCCAGCTTCTGAACAGCAATATTGTTCAACAGGGAGCCTTTCAAGGGAATCTCTGGTGAACCTGTTTAGCCTCGATATGCCTCAGCGTCAGCCGTTTGGGGGTGGTCTTTGCTGTAGATGCTGTAGTATCCCGTGTTAGGGGGTGGGTAGGGCTCAATGCACCCAGGGTGCTGTAAGATGCTTGGAAAGCGGCCCGAACGCTTGTGTCTGGGGAAACTAAGCTTCAATATTGCAATTTAACATAGGCACCAAGTAACTACTACGTTCCTTTGCCACAAAGAACACCACACAGGGATGAACATAATTTGCTGGTGGGGCTCTATGTTGATCGTGAATTCCGGCACGTTGCTTTACCTGCCTTCTGCGCCACTGCCTTCAGATCATCGTACTGATCACCTTCCCTGGCATGCGGAAGGTGGCGTCCCTGTCTTAAAGGTCAAACCGGCATATGGCTGTGGGTCGAAACCGTTTTGGGATCCCATTTTGGGGTACTAACAGGAACAAAAGCAAATAGAATACACCCAAGCTACCAGTGATTTCGAGTTTTCCCTTTGACACCAGCAAGGTAAACAAACAAAGCACGCGAAGTACCTCGAAGTAAGTTCGCAAGAACAAGTCTAAAGTACTGGTCTACCAATAACATGAAAAATCCCAGAAGGCGCAAAGTGCAGGAACTGGGAGAAGATGGAGAAGCAAGGCAACGTCGACGACAAATGAGGCAAGCTGGGTGTCTGCATCCTGTCTGAAATGGAACACCTCCCCCGTGAATCAACTGGGTTCCCATTAGTGAAAAGGGTGCCCTTTACCCATGTTCATGTGGTCATCCTTGGGCCATGGTTAAACTTGGTTTCTTAAAAACATGCAACCCAAAACCACCTGCTTTTATCTGCTTTCTTTGAGAGGATCCCCCAAATCAGCGGGGTGTTCTTTGAGTGATCTGGGTTGTCCTTAGATCCCCTGCTAAAAGTTCAACTTCTAGTGGATTTCGTGGAAACTACCCCTGAACTGTCCTAAAAAGCTGAAAACCTAAGGAACCACATGGCAAAAAACCACCAAGCAATGTGTCCTTTGCCCCGATCCCAGGCGACTCGCTCGCGCTCTCAGACTCTCGCACCTGAAGCCCATCATCAGCACCAGGCCGGGCCCGATACGCGCACGCACAAGGCCGTCCACCTGGCATTCGTCCACCGTCCTTGCCTCAACTTCTGGGTTGGAGATCCAGAAATCGCACCACCGTTTAGAAACCCAACGGAATGATATGATTCTCCTGTACATGACCGCAAAAATGGTTTGCCTGCGTTTCAAAGTGGTGCGGGTTTTCTGTCCATCCACAGTGGGAGGACCCCAGAAATGTTCTTCTTCCCTTTCGGTGTCCTTTAACAAATCAATCCGAAAAGGATGCCCTCAACAAATCACACACACACACACTAACACCAACACTAACCACCAACACTAACACACCCTTTTGGTTTTTCCGAGATGGTTGTGAAGGCTTGAATATACTATACAATAAGCCATGATGCTAGGTATAACCACAAGCTAAAATGGCCAAGAGGGGGTTTTGGGTGCTGCTCAACTGAAATTAGCAAAGGATCTCCAACGGAAGCGGCGCAAAATACGTCGCCTCATGCCAATCACTTGCAATGGCATTATTTTCGCTGAGACAACAGTCAACCTCAGGCCCGGGTTGTCGTTCTTAGTCAAACACGTTCACCCATAGCACCCGGGCAATTCAATGTGCGACAAAAAGTAGAAAGGGACAACTAAAAGGGAATACCTTTGCATGTGGTGCTACACCATTCTGATATCCCGAAGTATCAATTGGCAGCCATCGTCAGGTTTTACAGCCTCTAAGCCCCAAAAGTCCTGGGCCTCCTAATCAGACCTCGCTCTCAAATTCAAACCTCCATTGTTTGCGGTTTACGAAACAGCGGACATCAGAAACGCACATGCATTGTATAAGGGGACCCTCTTCAATCATGCCCAATGCACTAACGGATGGGCCCTCACATGGAAGGAAACGTACACGCGCATGGGAGCAATGTTCTACAACTGCAGAGGGCAAAGCGCACGGCGCCAAGCAAGAAACAATCACATGCAAGCAATCGGTGGAAACTCCCAAAAGGTTCAAAATGGTGTCTCCTTTATCTAAGCACATCAAAAGCTGCACTTCGCAGTTGGCAGTCTCCACAATGCGCTCCACTACCCCCCAACCGCTACCCCAGGCCAAAACGGGGTAAAACAACATACCCTTTTGCAGTGGCTACATCGATGTGTCCCAGTACGCCCGTCGGGTCGTGGTGTGGAGTGTAGTGGACACCGTCGCCAGGCGGCCTCCACTGTGGCACGCGAAACTTTCTGCCTCACATGACGGGGATCCAAATGGTGCCACACGCAATGCATGCGCGACAGAAAAAAGCAAAACGAGCGTATGTGCGTTGGGCTCCAAGCCGAATTGGCAAAGGCAGTAGGCACAGATACCTCTGCGCAAGCAAGAGGAAACCACACATTTAAATTATATAGCTATCTACATGTGACATGTGACAAATGTTTCTGCTGCTCCTGGCAAGGACTTGAGACTCTTAACCATTGCTGGCAAATTTGCCGGTGTGTTTGTCTTTGCGCGAATGGCGGAACATTCATGGGGAAACGCGAACCTGAGTTGTTAAGATACTGCTTGCTGCAACGCTCAGAACGCAGGCAGCCAATCACGACTCACACCACGGCCACTACAGCTATGCTAAGTGGTGTGGAGGAAAGTAATTAACCAGCAAAGGCATTCATGAATCATGAACAAAGGAGTCAACTCTGGTCGTAGATTGCGGTGCTTTAAGTTTTTAGGGTACCATGTGCCTGGCTGTGCTTCGAAAGCAAACCTTAGGGGAACAAACCGTTTTGAGGAACCCCCCCCTGAGACAAACCCCGGGCGCAGCTAAGGCGTCAGCCCCAGGAGCTTCATAACGGGCAGGTCCCATAACGGGCAGGTCCCGCAAATCAAGACATAAACTAGATAGTAAGGCAAAAAACAATTGAGTTATTTGGACACCCACATCCGGTACAAACGTTCTGCTAAACGGACGGCACAATGTAAGAACATAGAAGGGCAGCCTCCTGTACATATTGCTTCAAATGGCCCGTGTATTGTCTTTTTCTTGACTTGGCATTAAGCAAACTTCTTTTCTGCGTGCCCCTCGAATGTGTTGAAAGCACAAAACGCGACAGGCAAGGTGTCAACACGTTGGATCCACATTCGCTCGGCCAAGGCGTCTACACGTCCAGCTTCTTTGCCCTGCATTTGATGGCGCCTGCCGTTTCACGTGTGGCTGAGACTGTGCCCATCCCAAGCATGAAGGGCGGGATAGCTGCCTGGAGCCCGAGGATGAGCCAGTTGCAAAGGTGCAAGCAAGGGTACAACAATCATACTGATGGACGAAATCCATTTCGCACCACCTAAGAAACCCTAGAATGATCTGATCCCCTGCAAATACCAACAAACAATGGTTTCCCATGGTGTCTTGGGTGGTGTAGGATTTCGTCCATCCACAGTAGGCTAGCCTCGGCTGCTTCGGCATCCTCATTTTCGCATTCCTCTGAAGCGGTCCATGTGGCTGGTTGCTTCAACTAGCTTTGCCCTACCCTGGTGCAACTACTGCATGCCAAACTTTGCTTTTCTTGCCTGTTTTGATTCCGCCCCAGCCACAAGTTCTCGGATGTTCAACGAACTACGTAAGTTGGCTATAGTATAGGCATGGATAGAACTGGGATAAATGATTTGCTCGTCCCCCTGCAACCACGGTGATTAAATCTTACATAGCTTGAACATAACAGTTCCCCGACACACAGCTCAGCCTCTGTGGCTTCTCCTCTTTCCCGGGCTATCAGGCCAACGTCAACATCGAAAGCTCTGATTGTGTGAGCCACAGTCAAAACATGCGGTTGCCGTTGAAGGACATGGGACAAGTTTTCGTCCCATTGGCTGTTGTGTCTGAACAGTGCATCATCCCCGGCGTCCCTCCAGATCCAACGGTAGCCTATCGGAAATTTGGACCGAGCCTTGTGTGAAATCAATAAGGCCAATGGGAAAGACAACCACAGCCAAGGAATCTGGAGCGTCTTTCAAGAAAGGCAAGGACTGGAAAAGCAACAGGCTCTAAAGAAAAACAAACACCCACGCAAGCATAAAGGGCCTGTAACAAAGCAGCCAAACCTGGAAAACAAGGCTACCACATCTAACACAACAAGCCTCAAACATATGGACGGTGCAAACAAATCCCTGTTCTTGTAAATGATGTCCACCCAGGATTAATCTGGCTGATTTTGATTGGTGAGCGCCCCAATTAGTATCTCCAACTAACAAAGGGGGGTGCGCACAGGAACGTTCCGAAAGGAAGATATGTAGGAAAGCATGAGTGAAAATGCGATGTGCGCGAACCATGTTTGGTGGGAGGCACATGTCAACCCCGGATTCATCCACTCAGTGCATCGCTAAGTGGCGGTGTTTCTCCCAAGCGTGAATGAAATATATCGTAACATGGACACGTCCCACACAAATTAAACCAGAGCTATCAATCGACTGGCTTCCCATGATTTCACCTTTTGCCTTCAAATGCCCCCCCCCTCTCCGCCTCAACGATGGCTAGGTCCTCCAGTAGAGCGCTTAGAATAAAGATACGCTTCTTTCTGTCGTCTATTTTAGTAGGGGGTTTCCCTCCCAACCAAAAAAAGTGGGTAAAAGGGCACTGGGGGACCTAGATGGCCTCTCCCTTCGGCCGGCGAACCGCCCGGCGAACCGGCGCACTGAGTCTCGCCCCGCTTTTCCCCCGTCCGGGCAAGGCACGAGGATCCACACGGCGCTTTGGCCCAGCGCGCAGCTCCAAGTCAGCTGGTGGCAGCTGGGATCCGGCAGCTCCGGGCAAACGAAGGCCAGGACACTAGCCTCCGGATTTGCAAACGGGTGGCTCCGTGACAACCAACCAACCAACCAACCAAATACACAAACAAACGAACGAACGAACGAACAAACAAACAAACAAACAAACAAACAAACAAACAAACAAACCGCCAACCAATCAGCCAGCCAGCCAGCCAACCAACCAACCAACCAAAGTATAACATTGAACAAAGAATAGCTTAGCATTTGCCAATTCAACTGGTAAGGAAATGAGTAGGTTTTGTTGGTGGGAACGTGGGGCAAAACTAGCAAACTCGCCAAAAGACGGAAACTAACAACCATGCAAACCAACCAAAGGAGCTTGCTTAAACAAATGAACAACCACCAAATCACCCAAAGGTCAAACCAGTTTGCCAACTCCAAGCCGGTCCGCCGGGAATTCCCGCATCAAATTCGTGGCGATCTCCCGGGCGAGATCTTCGCCGTGACCAATGCGCCAGCCCCACGGCGGATTGGCCGCCACGACCCGCGGGACGTGCGACCCGAGAGGGGCGAAGGGCCGCCGGGCGTCGTGGAGCTCCACCTGAGGTCATTCTGTGGATGGACGAAATCCATTTCGCACCACCCAAGACACCATGACAAACCATGGCTTGTTGGTATTGACAGGGGAGCATATCATTCTAGGGTTTCTCAGGTTCTGCCTAAGAGGATTTCGTCCATGCACTGTTTGGCTGTGGGTCAGAACGCTGTACCCCATTGCCATTTATGAAACAATGACACCCGCAACTTGCAGGAGGTTCTCCCCGGAAACTTCAGGGTAGACCCTGAAAGGTGGGTCTAAAATTGCTTTCCCGGGCACTGGGCGCATCAACTCATGTTCAGCTTGGCTTCCAAACATGGTAGTGTCCTTTGCGGTTTCGCTTTGAAGCCAATTGAGCAGCGACAAGAACTCGAGCTTTTTGGTTCTACCAACATGGTTGCAAAGGCCTGTGTTAGGTTTTACTGTAACACCCCAAATCAACCGGGTAGCACTAGGTAGTAGAACCACCCACACTTTTGCTTGGTGCTGCTCACCCCACGTCATTGACAAATCTGGCCATTGGGGGGGGGGGAGGCTTGTTATAACGGGTAGTCCTCCACTTGGAATCTATTGGGTAGTTGCATTTCTAAAAAAGGCAGTACTCAAACATTGCTTGGCTAGTTTAAGGGAAACCATGTTTTTCTCGAGGGGCTCTGGTCTAAGACAAATCGGGTGTCAACAATTTGTGGGTGGGTCTCCTTTACAAAGCTTCAACGAGAACAAAAGCACGGCCAAAAGTTTCCCCGCTTTTCAGCTGGACAAATCGTGGTGCATGTACAAAGGGACCCTCACAAGTTGCGCATTCCTTGAAACTGCGCCAAGGAGCACCCCAAAACAAGCAAGTGGCTAGTTTCATGTCCGTCTTCACTTCCAAACGTGGCTTCCTTTTCAGTGCCCTTTTGAAACCAATCCAGCATGGGTGGTTCTCTTTTTGACGTCCCTTTGAAACCCAGCAACGGGCTGGTCTCTTTGGCTTGCCCGTTGCCTTCCCCGACTCAACCCGGCAACAGCGACTCGCTCCGAGCTCCCTCCGAGCTCGCCTTCGGCGGCGCGTCCAGCATCTCGAAGTTCTCGGCCGCACGGCTCAAGAACTGAGGATCCACGTCGCAGGCGATGACCTCGAAGCGACCACGTCACAAGCAAAAGCTGGTCCCAAATGCAGAAGTCCCAGGAAATGGCCGGCCACATAAACATGAAGATGTGTGTGTGTGTGTGTGTGTGTATGTGTCTTTGCTTTTATTTTTCCAAAAAGGCTGAAACACAACAAATATAGTATAACAAATATAATATCCTACCATCCACGTTGCCATAGAAGCTGACTGGGAAGTACTGGTTTGGACAAGTTTCCTCAAGGGACCTTCTGTGGGTTCCGTGATAGTGGACAGGGTGCTAAAGTGGTCTGCCCAAATCCAGGAAAATCATTAAGAGGGCGGATGTCTGCAACCGCTATGGTTGGGACTGTCCCCGCTAACCTTCACATATCCGGCAATTGTCCATGCAGGTAAGAAGGCAAGTGTCCATGCTTCTACCTGGGTTGACTGGTTGTGTTTAGCTTCCGTGCAAACATGGCTACAACCTTGGGCCGAACATGAACGCAATCCAACGTTTGTTAACTACCAGGAAGGGATGTTGCGGCAAAGTGAACTGTCAATGTGCATTCCAGGGGTCACTCCCTCCCCCAATTCAGGCAAATGGCTCTTAACTGGGCTATCTGGGTTCAGCGCCCTTGCGACCTCGATCAATGTTATAGCTTATATCTTATAATGAACTACTAAGTGGGTTGGGCATCCAAGCTGGGTGCACTCGAATCTAAGATGACAGCTTATGTTGGTCAATGTTGACTTCATCCTAGAATGAAGATAGTACCAAAGCGAAGTTGATCATTGGGGAGCCCCAAACAAACCTGACTTTGTTCCTGTGTGTTCCCCCACTTCCCGACTGCATGGATTGGTCTGAACAATGTGCGCACTTGTTGCTTACCGCCGAAGCAGTGAGCAGTTGAAGTCCAGAAACTGGACAATTGAGCCCCTTTGACAGCATCCCCCCTCAAACAAACAACACCCAGTGTGTTGTTTGCAGGCTCCGCACCCTTTTCGGGGTTGGTTTAGTGAGAAACCAAAGGAGAACCAACAAGCACCATTTTGGTGGGAAACCAAAGGGCCCATTTTGGCAAACCTCCACCCCAAAAAGCAGAAGAACCGCCACCACTCTTTGGGGGGGTTGGTTCAAGGGACCTTCCCCCCTTTTTGTGGCCGCCGCCCATTCGCCCATTCGCCTGGGTGAAGCACTTGGCATTGGCCGCTGCGGCGCTGAGCGTGCCGCTGCCACAGCAGGCATCGAGGAAGGGGCCCTGGACGTTCGCAGGTCAAGCAAGCCGGACGGGATGTTGGTTGCTGTAGACCCTCTCTTCAAACAGTTCAACCTTTTTTTGATGGACGCTGTGCACTGTAGACCCCCTCTGCAAGAAGTGTTTAACATTTCGTGGGTTTAATGGACAATCCAAAATGGCAAAGTCTAAAGATCGAACCCACAGCCATCAAGGGACCTTCGACCTAGTAGGTAGGCTACAAGGATTCTAACCCCAGTTCCCCGCTCAGCAACCTCACTCTGAGCCAAACGGGCGATTAACTTACGCTTTCTTGGACAACCCACCAGCACAGAGGTGTTAAAACAAACACTGCATTCATGGATGCCACCAACGGAACAACTAACCTCAGGCCCTACATATCTCGCACAGGGTTTCGGAGTGCTAAACCACATCTAGTGATTGCAGCAATCAACTCTTTCAGGCCTGGAAGTGCCATTTCAAGCCTATAAACGCCTCAAGTAGTTGCCAGTGTCTTGGTGCGTTTTGGTGCCACTTCCTTGGTGGCCCTTCCGGTACCCACCGGCGCCTCCGGCAACTCCAGGCGCTTGGCCTCCATCTGCGCGAGAGACACCACGGCGGAGGCCACGTAGACGTCTAGGCCCGCGGAGAAGTGGAAGCGCCTGCGGCGAGAGCTTCCAGCTACTGGCGGGTGGGTGGGTGGGGTGGGGTGGGCGGGTTGTCAGCTTCTCTCTACTTGTCTCCGTACCTATGGGAAGTCGAAGTAGATCAGCTTCTATCCAATTGGTGGTTTGGCGGGTTGAGGAGTTGAGGGGTGGTTTCCCATTGGCGTTCAAACCACCAAGTAGCTACGTGGTTGGCGCGTAGCGGCTAGCTACTATGAAAGGGGGCCTGAAAACGGCGCTTCAGCCCCGTGGATCAACGGCCCACCTGAAACTGGGAAGGGAATCTCCTTTAGGGCGGACCCCCCTTGCCTTGGTCAATGTTCAAGCAAAAAAGGGCGCCATGTTGTTGAGTTGTCGATTCCGACAAGAGTTCAAGCAACGCAACCACTTTTCTGTTTTACTAGTGAGCCACCCCCCCAAAGAAAACAAACGGTGCCACTGGGCAGTCAGCCAACACATGCATGTCTCTGGAGTTTAACCCTTTTGGCACCCTGTTCTCTAGAATGACTTTTGCAAAGGAGTCCAAATCGACCCAAAATGATGTTCAATCCAAAGACAGGTAGCACCTCAACACAAGAAGCATGGGTTGACAGGCCACACAAACAACTAGATCGTCAATACTTCGAGCCGACTGACCTCCTCACCCAGGCGGTTTGCCAGCTCTCCTCCAACTCCGGGAGAATGGCCTCAGTGAGTGTCGCCGGTTGCCGTTTCTCCGATTGAAAAGCCCAGCGAGGCCTGCGCTGCAATCCCTCTTGCTCTCTTGCGATGGGCGCAAAGCGTCGGTTCGACGCAGCGGTTTGCTTGTGGGTATAAGGGGAAGGCACCAAACACAACTAAGTCAGCACATCAGTGTATCATCGCACCCCTTTTGTGTAGTGGATTTGGGGCAAAACAAACTAGAAATAACTAGAACCAGGACTAAAATGGGTCCCTTTGGTTCTGCAGAGCGGGTTTCTGGTAGCAAGTGAGAGATACAGCCGCCCGGCTCAAGTGGTTTCATTACCTGACTGGATAGAAGTTAGAGCTTCGAGGGTTCCAAACCACCCAACACAGGCTGCCTTGGCTTAGCTATGCGGGAGCCCTGAAAACACCCTACAAAGCACCATGAACAGACCTGAAAAACGCCCAACAAAAACCAGTGAGCAAACCTTGACCCCCCCCCTCTCCCCCGTTTTTGTTCAACCCGATTTGCCCCCCGAATTCATTTCCCAGCGCCTGGGTGAGGAGCAAAGTGCCCTCCGCCTCAAGGACCAAAAGCTCCAGGTGCCTCGAGCCTTCCGAGCGCCTCGAAAAACAAAAAAAGAAGCCCAGGAAGTATTCGCGCCCTCCATGGGCCTAACAATCCCCCGGAAAAAAAATAAAATAAAACGTTTTGTGTCTTTCCCTTCCAGTGGTGGTAGATTCCCTTTGTAACATGGGAAAAAAAAAAAAAAAAACAACCAAATTTGCTTAGCCAAATGGAAGGCGCAGGAGCTCGCTGCCCCGGATCCACGGTACGTCCCGAAAAGGGTCCCAAAAAGGGTCCCGATGCATTGGAAGAAAAAACGGATTGGAACCCTCGGGGTTGACTTCAAGTAACAGGGGAACTGTTACCACCAAATATCTGCCCTATTTCCCGTCTGACAGTGGGTTTATTCCGAAGCAGTGGGTCGTCTGCACTGGTGTTGTCCCAGCTATGTTCAATATCCACGCAGAAAACGTGTTCAGCGTGCATTTGTCACTGGAGAATTACCAAAAACTGGTTCTGCTAGAACCCAAGTTGCAACCAGCGTCACTTCCGACCCTTGGCAGGGAACCACGTTGGAAAGTATCAAGGGGCATCCTTGTCATGGCAAATGCATTTTTAGCGGGGAGCCCATCTACATAACCCCCCTAGACAGGAAACCAACACCCAGCTGGTCAAAGAGGGTGCCATGTTTGTGAGAGGAAGGGTGCCCATCCGGATAATTCAGGTATGGCCTGGCTGAGAGTGCTAGGCTTAGGCTTGGACAAATTTAGAATTTGCAAAATCCCTGTGGGTTTCCATTTGGGAGGACTAAGAGTTATTGGCGGTGTAGCACTGAGGCATAGAAAATGCTCAGTTTAGAGGGTCAAGTTCTGAGGTGGACCGGTTGGCACCTGACACAGTCTTTCCAAAGGAACTGACCTTCCAGGTATCCTCCCGCAGCTGCCTTCCGTTTGTGGGACGAATGGAATCTTTTGGTTGCTGCAAATCCCCACTTTGAGTTTGTCTCAGAATGGGGCGTAGTTAGACCCCGTGACCCCCTTTTAGCCAGTACATGCGACCACACTTGGGATGTCAAGCCAGTTCCCCTGGAAAACCTGACAGGAGGTCCCTATTCTTGAAAGCAATAACTGTTGTTCAGGCTGCATGTCAATTGGCGGGAGGGTGGCTCCTAGCCACGTCTTCCCCACGCCTCAGCTTCGCCGGCGCCGCCTCCGCCGCCGCCGCAGCCGCCAGGGCCACCTGGGCGCTGGGCGAACTGCGCAGCGGCAGCGCGGCAGCGTCCAGCGGAGCATCGCGGAGCTCCAGGCTGAGCCACCAGGAGCTGTAGCCGCGGAGGACCTTGGAGAGAGGCAACTGCCTGGTGCCACTTTGGTCTCTTGTGTCGTTTGCTGTTTGGTTTCTGTCGCCTTGAATTTTGGTCTTTGCTTCTCAGATGTGTCTGTCCCCAGTCCGAATCCTCCCACCTCCGGCACCCGCTGCACCAGCGCCTCCGCGCTGCCGAAGGCCCCCAAAAGCCGCAAAGGCGCGCGGCGCAGCGCCGCCGAGGCGAAGGACGCGGTTTGATCGAAGCCGTGGAGCAGGAATAGGCCAGGCGCCACCTCCTGGCGCAGCGCGGGAATGAGCGAAAACGAAACTCGCTGAGGAGATTGGCAGACAAAAAGGCATGACTTTACTCTGGGTGGTGCAGACAAAAATGACCTCCTGAGTAGATTGGCGAAACAAAATGCGAACCTTTGGTTTGACATGGGGCCTTCCCTAGCAGTGCAAGGTCCACCTCCTGGCATACACTAACGGCCCTAGAGCCCAAGCAAGGGGCCCTCCTCATGCGGATGGACTCGTTCTTTTCAGAACGTTCTGCAGAGTCGAACCCAGGTGGTCAAATTTGAACCAACTTGCGGTTGTCACGTGAAGAAGCTACCTGGCCGCCAACGCTAAAAAAACATGAGCCACCTCAACTAGAGTCGGATTTGCCCCCACAACTTGCCGCCCCCCACAACCTTTGAGACTTGATATCCCACCTTTGCTAATGGCAATTTGGTAAACGTATAAAATGCCTCCTAGCAGGTACTACAGTAAGGTCGCAAGCGAACACCTACTTTTGACCATATACACCATCCGCTTGGTGCTGCTGTAAGATTCACCCCATTCGCTGTGTTTCAATTGTACGACATGCCCTTGCGGGTACAACGCTAAAATCCGTGAAAGGTAGATGACGGCAATCATTGAATGGTGCTCCTATGCTTGGAGCGTGTGAGACATTTGTTTCCCTTGACAAATGCTAAACATACGAAACTAAGGGCTCCCCATGAAACAAAACCTTCATCATGAGAGACGCCGCAAAAGTGCTTCATTTTGGTAAGGTAGGTATCTACCTCGCCTCTTATCCAACTACACAAAACTTTCTTCTTTTTTTTGGGGGGGGGGGCGCCTATTTAGCGAGTCTAACACCATACACTCATACCGCATATTAGAACAGAAACACCTCCTCCAAAATTTAAACCACATTGGTGTGTGTGTGTAACAAATTGTAGTTTCCTTTTTGATTTCTGTCTAATTACTCAAAAAGCGTACGTTCGAAGAAACACATACACACCTATATCAAATAAACACCAGCTCTTACTCGCACACGCGAAGACACGTTTTGGCAGGCCTGCAGCTGGTCAGAAGACACGCCGGCCGCCGCTGCTGCACAGTGGAACTCCATGGCCATAACCTGTGCCTCCTGGCCCGTGCCGCTTCCCTTAGACCTTCCTGAGTGGGCAAACGAAGTCCAGACTTGTTTGGCACTAACCTGGTCCCAAGGATGAAGCCCAAGAACTCAGGAACTGAGTTCTCCATGGCCCTGGGTTGAGCTGATCGCAACTGGTTAATCAGCATCTGAGCCCCGCAAGTGGGCCGGGAGACCTGGTAGGGAACTGCGAGGGAATCCGACACCTTTCGGGGCTCCCCCTCCCCCAGATAGGGGTGAGTTATAGCGAAACCTTCAACTTGGATGCTGAACTCGAGTTGTGGAAATATTATAAACGGTTGCAACGTTATCCTCAATTCCCGCCGTTTCCAGAGGAGTCGCGAAGTTGCCTTCCTTGGATTTTCAGGGAAGCAGTGGTGGGAGCAGGTGGTTTTGCTTTTGGGGCGGGCCCCGTCAACGAGGGACGAGACTCCGCTGAAGGTGCCGGATTGCTGCAAAACACGGCCGGCAAGTAGACTGAAACCATGCGCAGGACTCACCTCTGATGCTAAGCCTTTCATCCATTTGTTTGGTCGAGCTTGTTCTGGTGTCAGGGCTCCCCTAAACATCACCTTGTGGGCGAATTGGAAACTGACCTTGCTCTTGGTGGGTTCTGTTCACCAAAATGATTTAACATGTCGACCCCGGATTCATTACTAGGGGAGTGGTCTCCACAAAGACAACAGTGAATGTTCCGCCTCAAACTGCGCAGCCCTGCCAATTCACCAGGTGTTTGTCTAGAGCTTGGGTTCCCCTTCCTCACTCGTTACAACATCCTGCTTCCAGGTGCGTCGCGCCCTCTGTTGGCTCCTTGCTGCGGGAGCCCTGGTTCCGGAGCAACACCACCCAACACTCATGACCGGCCGCCAGCAACTGCAGCTCCTCGAGAGGCAGGCGACGGGGAACCAATCCCTACCCTTTGAGGGCCCTCCTGCTTGTACTTATGTGACCCCTGAATGGGTTCCAAAGGGGCTCTCGGATGCTACACGCATGATTTGTCCTTGCTAGCGTTCATTAGAACTCGTTTAGGTGTGAAAATGTATGGCGTCCCCTGATGACCAGGTTGAGGTTGGAGATCATTGCGCGTATCTGGCCTCAGAAAAAAACGGGAAAGGTTGCACTGCTCCCTGGTGACTCGGCTGCCCTCAGATCCCCTAAAAGTTGAAGTGGGCTAAACGGAAACCCAACCACAAAACCAACCAAAAACTACTAAAATCCCAAGTTGAACCAGATGGCAACCACCAAGAAAAGGAAAACCGCAATTTATGTAGGGCCCCCCCTGATGCATACCAAGTTCAACATCCTGTTTGGGCTGCCCTCAGGTCACTGCTACAAGTTCAACTTTCAGTGGGTTCAACAGAAGCTACCACACAACTCAAAACCTCAAGCTAAGGAAGCGGATTGGAAGCCGCCAAGAAACGGACACAGTGATGTTCAATCTCATTTCTTAGATACCCAATTTGGCCATGGGTCAAAACCCCGGTTAGCCGCGAGTGAACATCCCAATCCAAACACTAAAATCCCCACTAAAATGGGTGGTGAATTCACCTACCAACCAAAATAGGATCCCACAAACTTTTGACCCACTGCCATTTCAGTACACACAGCCAGCAGCAACGGAATTGCAGGGGTCACCCACGAGCCGAGCCCAGCGCCCGCTCCTCCGCGCTCCGCGGCTTGGGCTTTGGGCGCCGCCAGGCGCGGCGCCCCTGGCCCACAGCCGTGGGCCGCCCCGGCGATGCCGGGGGCCCCGGGGGCCCCGGGGGGCCCGAGGTGAGGGCAGGTGCTGAAGCCTCGAACCAAAAAAGCGCTGAGTCCTTAAAGCAGCAGTTAACTCTTGAATACAAAAAAAGTCGGTCATTGCAACTTGTTCCTGAATCAAATGCAAGATGCTGCAAGAACAGGATGTAACCTTTTTGAAGACAAACGAGTCACTGCAACTTGTTTGCTCCCCCCGAAAGAGGAAATCTGGTTCTATCGATTCTATCGACCAGAGGAAGCCCAAAATGGCGGGGTTCGCTTGATTCTGCTTGAAAACAACACCCCGGAAACCACGTCCCACCTGCGGGTGATATGCGGCGAAGCCGTCCAGGGGGTCGCCGCTTTGCGAGCTATAGGCGAAAAGGGGCCGGTGGTGGTGCAAGAAGGCGACCAAACGCAAAGCCATGCCTCGGCTCGAAGCAGCGAAGCTGCGTCAAACATCCAAAAGCTATTAGGGATGTAAATGTGCTTGGGGACCCTGTGCTGGACATTGTCTGTTTACATGGTGATGATGAAATTTGGAGCCGTTGCTCACATTGAACCCAAAAGCGGGGTCCCCGAAAGAAACAAATGATGTGGATTTGTGGATTACATGTTAATCTGCAGTGGGGGTGGGGTTGATGAGCTAAGTGACGAAGGCACCCAAACCGGCTCACACAACATACGTTCACTCATTTTGTCTGGTGTGAACAAGTTGCCAGTATGCACACATGTTGAATCACAATTCCACAACGGATTAGAGGTCGTTGTTAACGATTAACGCATAAAAGCTAATGTTCAGTGACACTGGTAGACACAGTGGAACTTGTGTTGTGATGACCATGTTAAGTGGCACTTCCCCGCCACACAAAAAAGGGGAAAAGGGTACAAAACAACTGGCTTACAGGGGCACTGCTGACGTGGCGAAAGGCTAACGGATCAACAGCAGCATCCAAGTCGCGCTTCTTTCGAAGAGCCTTGGAAGTTTGAGAGGTCACCGTGGTGGTGTCTGTGAGGTCGAGCTCAGGTGGAAGATCCTTGGCCTTCGCCATCAAAAGACATACTACATGGGGGGAGGGGTCCAAAACGCAAGACATGGATGTTCGTTTTTGAAGGTGCATGCCTCTTTCTTTCCGGAAAGCCAAACGGAATACCACCTCCATTTTGGGAGTCCTCCCTCAAAAAGAAGGGCGAGCACCCCCCGCCACCAACCGGAGCACCCCCCCCACCCTCGAACATCTCCTCTTGAGTTCCCAGCCTCCCGCTCGTAGCGAGGCAGCAGGCGGATGTGCCGCAGCAGCGCCTTCTCGCACGCGATGACCAGCCAAGCGATGGGCACGGAGTCCGCGGATTCGGCTTCGGCGCTCGAATGGCGACCCATGCGCCGGATCACAGCCTGAGAAAAAATATATGTATATATATATATATATATATTATACACATATGCATGTCTGGGTGTGATCAGTTGGGGGGCTGAGGAAAAATGTATAGAATACAAATTCCCTTCTGGTTTCCCTGTAATTACAAAAAGTGACTAGTTAGTGATACAAGAGGCTGAGGAAGACAAAAGTTGTTTTTCAGTGTACACAGTCCATTCTACGGCATTGTTAAGGCCCCAACGGTATCCCCCAATCAAACAAACTTTGAATCAAAACCAAGAGGCAAAGCTCGAAAATTAAATAGACAGAAATAGACAGAAACCACCATGTGTTGCAATTTTGAAACAGCAGTCAATCGTGAAGTCTGACACAAATCTGGGCTGTCCTCAGATCCCCCTGCTAAAAGTTTGACTTTTACTTTGTTAAATGAAACCCCTCACTAAACACTAAAAAACTACAAACCTACGGGGATGGCTAAATACCCACGGGGATGGCTGGGAACCACCAAGAAATGGAAACAGTGATGCTCAATCAAATTTCTTAGATATTCGATGCTGAGACAAAGCCTGCGCTCCCTCCCTAAAGGGAAAGGGTATGCATATATATATATATATACATATTTTTTCAGCTTTCCCCAACTTTAGTACAAACAACAAGCGGCAACGGAATTGCAGGGGTCACCCGCCGCACCCTAATTCCAGCCTATGAGTCTAGGAGGGACGAGGGAAAGCCACTTTATCTAGTGCTTCTTAGGGAAAATGGAACCACACCTGCAATTCCAAAGACAACCAGTCCGGCAAACAACGGAAAGCGCCTGCCACGGCATGCGATGGCTTTCCCTTGTTTTCCCTTGCCTTCCTTCGCTTGACCTTGCTTTTTCCCTTGCGTTGCCTTGCTTTCCCTTGCTTTCCCTTTCCGTTGCTTTCCCATTTCCTTGCTTTCCCTTGCTGTCCCTTGCTTTCCTTTGCTTTGCCTTGCTTTGCCCGTGCTTTAGCTTGCTTTGCCTTGCTGTCCCTTGCTTTCCCTTGTTTTCGCTTGCTTTCCCTTGCTGTCCCTTGCTTTGCCCGTGCTTTTGCTTGCTTTGCCTTGCTGCCCCTTGCTTCACCTTGTTTTCCCTTGCTTCCCTTGCCTTACTGTCCCTTGCTTTCCCTTGTTTTCCCTTGTTTTCCCTTGTGTTCCCTTGCTGTCCCTTGCTTTCCTTTGCTTTGCCTTTCTGTGCCCGTGCTTTTGCTTGCTTTGCCTTGCTGTCTTGCTGTCTCTTGCTTTCCCTTGCTTTGCCTTGCTTTGCCCGTGCTTTTGCTTGCTTTGCCTTGCTGTCCCTTCCTTTCCCTTGTGTTCCTTTGCTTTGCGTTGCTTTGCCCATGCTTTTGCTTTCTTTGCCCTGCTATCCCTTGCTTTCACTTGTTTTCCCTTTCACTTGCTTTCCCTTGCTTTCCCTTGCCTTCCTTTGCTTTGCCTTGCTTTGCCCGTGCTTTTGCTTGCTTTGCCTTGCTCTCCCTTGTTTTCCCTTGCTTTCCCTTGCCTTCCCTGGCTGTCCCTTGCTTTCGTTTGCTTGTCCCTGCTTTCCCTTTCCCTTTCTTTCCCTTGCTTTGCCCCTTTCCCTTGGTTTCCATTGCTTTCCCTTGCGGTCCCTTGCGGTCCTTTGCTTTCCTTTGCTTGTCCTTGCTTTCCTTTGCGTTGCCTTGCTTTCCATTGCTTTCCCTTTCCCTTGCTTCCCCTGATTTCCCTTGCAGTCCCTTGCTTGCTGTCCCTTGCTTTCCTTTGCTTTGCCTTGCTTTGCCTTGCTTTGCCTGTGCTTTCGCTTGCTTTGCCTTGCTGTCCCTTGCTTTCCCTTGTGTTTCCCTTGCTTTCCCTTGCTTTTTTGTTGCTGTCCCTTGCTGTCCCTTGCTTTCCTTTGCTTTGACTTGTTTTGCCCGTGCTGTTGCTTGCTTTCCCTTGCTGTCCATTGCTGTCCCTTGCTTTGCCTTGCTTTCCCTTGCCTGGCTTGCTTTTCCCTACTTTCGCTTCCTTTGCCCTTGCTTTCCCTTGGTTTGCCTTGCTTTGCCTTGCTGTCCCTTGCCAGCTTGACCCAAGTCAGAGCAAACCAACAACTGCACAACCCTCCTGCACTGAATCACATACAAGCAACAACCCAAACCAGCGCCCGTACTTACACACCCCGTGTCGTCTCCCTGGGACCTGCAAACCAGCCTTGCGGTGGCAGAGAGTGCTCCAAAAAATACTCCAAACAATGGGAGTATTTTTCCTGCGACATCCCCGCCGACCACCACAAAAACTTCCAAAACAAGCGACATCCCCTGCATCCCCTGCATCCCCGGCACCCCTTGTGCGCCCAAGTCCGGCGAGGCCGGAAGCAAAGTAAAATGATGTAAAACTGGCACGCTTTTTGGCCCGCGAGAGCCACAAACGAAAAGGTCAGACATGATAGGCAGCGTCGACGAAAAAGCGCGAAAAACACAAGGAAAAACACAAAAAACCAGCCTTGCGGTGGCAGAAAGTGCTCCAAAAAATACTCCCATTTTTTTGGGGATATTTTTTTCGCTGACCAGACCTGCAAATCACCCGGAACGAGGTTACCCCCCCACAACTTCGTACACTAACTCCCAGCGCTTCAAGAAGCGCTTTCCGTCATCCCCTTCCTCCCACTCCATTTCAGGAAACTCTTCTCTGCGATTTGGATTGGTGGTTTGGGGATTTGAACCCATAATCTGCGTAGAAGAACCCATGGTTTGTGTAGAGCGGAACTGCCCATGCAAACCACCAATGAGGGGGACCCCGCCCATTGCTAGGGGGTGACAACCTGGGTAGGGCCCCCCGCCTGCTTTAGATCTTCGGAAATCTGCGGGTCCGCACAGGAGCCAGCGCCACCTTCTGTGCAAGGCGCGTCTCCTTGGAACCCAATCCCGGGAGCCCCAAGAACATGTGTTTTTCCCCATTCATTTATGTTCAAACCAACTGCAAAAAGGATACGCTCAAAAAAACTCATGACAAGGGCCTGAAAACAAATAATATAAACAAAATAATAACCCGTTTTGGACCCATGACTCAAAGCAGGCCCAAAACGCATAACCGAATCAAATCAACAGATATTGTTGAATTCAGCGTGCAATGTTAGCTAGAAGTAAGAAACAATCAAACCAACAGGTCAGTAAAGGTTGATGCGCCGTTTGAAAGCGAGTCTCTGGTCTCGCATCGAATCAAAGGCTCGCCGCGTTGAGACGCGGAGCGGTCTGCGCCAACTGCCTGCGAACCAAGGACCAACACATCAAAGGCTTGCCTCCAGGCCCGCAAAACGCATGGCTTGACTTTGGCTTCCAACACAACCAAAAAAAAGAGGCTACGCACTCCAACAAAACATGCAACTGCATCGGCCAAAAAGGGAAACTGCAATCAACGGCATCTTGAGGTGGGACGTTTAAGCGGCTATCTGCCACGCATTTCAGTACTGCCCTACTCCCCGTATAAATGTGATACAAAATCTGCACACCTCCAAACCTCCCGCCTCAAACCCCTGCCCGCTCCCCGCTTTCCCAAAATATCCCTAGCAATATGCCGCCTTCTCCTCCACAAAGATGCCAAATTCGTTGGCTGCAGCACACGTTTGCAACAAGCTGCCGCCGGTGGACCGTGCCTAGCGCTGGGTCAAGATGAACATCCCCAGCGAGACATTTCATGAGCCACCCCCCCCAAATGAAGCACAAAAAAACCCCACAAACGCCCCCCCCCCCCCCCCGGTTTTTGCGGGAAACACTCCTGAGTCACCCCTCCCTCCCCGATCAACCTTAGACAAATCACACAAACTACCTGCCCCAGCCCAACAGCCCACAGCCCAACAGCCCACAGCCCAAGAACCCAACCAATAGCCCAGACCCAGGCCTTCCACCGCTTCCAAAGCTCGGGATGTAACCGTCGCAGCTCATCGCCCGCCAAGGACGCCGGCAGCGCCGCGTCTCCGTGCAGTCGCAGAATCGAGAGCAGGGCTGCCAGCAGCTCCTCACAAACGCCATCCGTTACACCTATCTCACTTCCGATCGAGTGGATGCGCCAAACAGAGTAAACGCTTTATTTACAGTACCAGCAAAATGGTGGCAAACCCAAAAAGTGACTAAAGTCCAGGAACTCAAAAAGTATTGCCTCTACGCCCAAAAAACAGCAGCGCTATTTTGGTTGGCAGTCCTACTTGGTTCCATGAAGGTCACAGTAAGGGCTATGATGTAAATATTAATAATGCTGCCTCTGAGGCTACCCCCAAAACCCCAGGAGAAAACAGAGTATGCACCTTTTACAAGAAGGCTCCCTCCGAAAAAGACTTGACATCCCGTGACATCCGAGTGACCCCAGCAAAAGGGAGCTTTTTTTGGGATGATTCGTGAGGGCCCAGAAAACTAAAAGGGAAGTATACCGAGGGGTGCGAAATTCAACAACCAAGAACTCTTGAGTATCTTAAAAATCAGACCTCCAGTAAGTTTCCGCTAAACAACTGGCTTCTTAACTTGGCCTAGCAGTTTTGAGCTCTCCTGGAACCATTTGAAGGGTCCGTACAAATCCGCTGAACAACCCTCCTTCTGTGGGTGGAACAGGGCTTTCCTCAACTTGGTTGGCAAGCAAAGGGAAACCTGCAAACAATCTGTGAGGGCCTAAGATAAACCACCAACCGACATGGACCGAGCTTGGACTCTCCTCGTCTCTCGCCCCGGACTTGCCGCCACTCATGGCCGGCTTGCCAAGGGAGCGGGCTTGAGCATCCGAGCGAGCGTGCGGCTCTGAGAGGGAACCAATTGAAACAACGCCCAGCCCAAATTTAGGCCCTTGGTTCCTTGTAAAGTTTGAGGTCCTGGCTCCGGGCCTCTTTCTTGCTTTGTTGGCCCCTTTTGCGCATGTTCCTGGAGAACAACATCCCAGGCGGCACTGGCCACGTTTCTGGACAATGGGCCCCCTTCTGCCATGCTAAAGTGGGACGCCCATCCTACCTACCTTGCCTCTTCAGGGGTCGTTCCTCTGGAAACACGCAAAAATCGCGCTGAGATCCAATCTCCCACACGAGAAGTCAGGCATACAGCGGCATACACTGAAAAGAAGTACTGTCACCTGGTGGTACCGCCAGAAAGTCTTGTTTCCAAAATATGTTCTCCCACAACTAGCCCTTATCCAATGACCATGGAAGCTGACAGAATTGTTTGCGAAGATGATGAAAAGGCCCCTGTTCATTTCCATAACTTGACCTCAGCTGTGGCCCCCTCTCAAACTTCTGACAAGTTTGATTCTGCATACATTGTGAACCGGAACATGTGCTCAAAGTTTCAAGGACTCAACTTCAAGACACCCGCCACTCCAGAACATTCATCAAGGAGTTCCCTGATCTTTACAACCCTTAGTACGGTTGCCCAAAAAACTGACTGTTTTCTGCAGCTTACTAAAAAGGAACAGAACCAACAAACAACAACACACATTGACAAGAGCACCCCCCTTCAAAAAATGGACAGAACCATCAAAAACGAAAAGGACAACGACAATTTTGAATCATGAAGCGATTGCCGCGCCCTTTCTTCCAACTCTTCCCAGGGCCGCTGGGCCACGTCCTGCCACCTCGGCGCGCAAAAACACCGGACTGACCCATAGGGTATCAAGGCTCCTGGAAGGTTACATGCACGTGGACCCGAGTTCCATGCACAATCCAGTCATCTAGGGGTTGATTCCCCATTCTCTTCAACCACCGTTCTTTTCAAAAACCGGCTGTTTCCCCTGGGTTTTTGATGGTTTCCTGAAAATAAGGATCCCTGGAAAGAATGGGGAGGGTACCATAAGAAATCCATCCAAATCATCTGAAATTATGGTGCTAATGTGTGGCAAGCTGGAAGATGTTGGGTAGAATTCCCATGTCGCGTCCCCAGTCTCGACTAAGACTGGGCTGCCGAGCTGATGCGCCATGTGAGTGACCTCTTTTAGGGCGGCTTGGAGGTCTGCGGGCAATGGCTCGTAGACCTGGGGAAGTCAAAGGGCTTGGAGTACGAAGAACGTACGGACGCCCTATTGCAAAGCCAGCACGCTCTATGCTAAATCACTGCAACGTCGTTCTGATATTTAGAGCCTCCGGAAATGACGCGTTTAAAGAATTTATATAGCTGCATGTGAGTGCGAAAACCAGAAAGCAAAGCGAGCAACCCGAGTGAACAGGCGGACTCAGTTGCAATCGGTGACGCAAAGGTAGCAGAAGGGGGAACCATTTCTTCTCATGCTTGCTGACATGTTTTAGTGGGGGACCTAAAGAAAATGGGAACCTTTTGGCACTGAGCACTGAACGTGCAAAGGACGACACATTGGCTGTGCACAAGTTGCTTGAGTGGCAAAACACTCCAAAAGTGCTGTTCGAAGATGGAAAAGAACTGATTCTGTGACCCTTCCGCAAATTCATGAAAGCGTGCGACTTTCCGAAAGAATGATGAGAAAAACACGTGTGACTGGAACGAAATCAGTGTCACCGCGTGATGTTCTCGTAAAGAGTAAGGCCCCTTTGTTTCATATCCCCAGGTGGCACAAGGCACCAGGGGCCAACCTGGCCTCCGCCCGGGCGTCGCCACTGAACATGGCCAAGCGGTAGCGATGCCTGGGCTGAGCCTCTCACCCGGCACGCAAGCCGCCGCAACGTGTTGCCAAAGTCAGCTGCGCAGGGTTCAGACAGTCAAAACAAACATACTTTAGGTGTTGGTTTCTAGAGGCGATCAACGCGTCGCAGATGCCATGAAGATGGGAAAAGCAAAGGGATACATCCGTGCCATGTGTTCCGGAAGCACGGAGTCATACATCATGCACGGCCCTTCGTACTGTTTCCCTGCCATACAACTATATCCAAACCAATACTATAGACATAAACATAACAAAGTAGAACAACAAACGGTAAGGCAACAATAAATTGACAAATTCCAACCGTAAAGCGCATTTCAGGGAAGGGACAGCAAATTCAGCCCAGCCACAGGAAGTTCCGACGGCACCACCGCATATCCTTGAGCGGATTAAGCGGATTCCGCAGATCGATCCCCCTGTTGGGACGCTTTTAAGGTTCAACGAAAGTGGCACTTTTGTCTCTTTGGTTTCCATTCAAATCATCATCTTGCCCCAAGGGTTGGTGGTTTGGTGACTGGTGGTTTGGACCGCAGAGACTACCTTCCCCTGTTGGTTTAGGAACTGGGACTCAATTCACCACCAAGAGAGAGAAAACAAAGCTGAAATCAACCTGAGAAGGGTTCCCTCAAACGCAAAAACCTATGTACCCTTCTGGGAACCGTGACGGTTGCTTCTTCCCGTCTCCTTGGCACACGGGTGCGCCCCCCTCCAAGAAATCCCGAACCTCTGGTAGGGAGTTTGCTCCACGCGTTCTCATCAACCAAGTCCATGTTGCTTCTGAGTTGGTTCCGCTAGACAAACCCACAGAAACGGTCCCGGCAGTCCTGAAAGCAATTCTCCATGGAGAAGTATCCTGGGTCGCCACTGCTGTCATGCACCCTGAGGGTGCAGCGGTGCAGCCCTCCTTTCCAACAAAGCCGAGTGGCTCTTGTCCGTCACCATGGGATGACCCGTGTGTGCCATCTGCAGCCGAATCTGGTGCTGCCGCCCCGTGACGATGTGAATGCCCATCCTCGGCACGCAGCGCGCCGGACATTCCGTGCGGCTCCGGGTGTCGGGCATGAACCGTTTTAGGACATTCCCTTTAAGGGACCACCATAGGGAAGAGTTTTTCTTGGGGTCATGCCATTTCTCATTCCCTGCTGAGAACCAGCAAGTCTTAAGCTAAGCGTTGCCACTTAACTGGCCAAACTGGCAGTCAGGATGGGCTGCCGTGGACAAAATATTGCACAAGCTCTATTGTGCTATCCAAATGTTTTCTTCGCACGGGTTTCCTCCATCTGCAGGACTTGGTACCGCCGCAGAACGAGCCCATAGCCGCCGTTGTGAAGGAAAACCGCCAACCAAACACTTTCACGACAGCCTCATGCCTGACAAAAAGGGGTACAACCTGTTTTGACAACCTCAGTCTGTGTCGGTTGAAGACGCTCTTGAAATCATGAGAAACACACATCACCAGGTCATCACCCCAAGTAATGTGAGACCCCCCCCCACCAAAACCAAACAAGCTCCCACTCCCACTTCAAAAAAAAAAAACAGCACCGGGTCAGCGGGCCATGAAAGTGACATTAAATGGCGGTTCAAAGCAAAACCACCAGAACCAAGAAAACGATTTTGAGAACCCCTCAGAATTCAATCACGTTCTGAGTGGCTTGGCTGAAAAAAATACAATCCCAGGAAGTGAGACAAAACCTGATGTGCTCCTAAGAACTATGCTGGCCCCTAAAACCGTACTAATGCAGTGTTCCTTGAAGAATACATTTGGGCTAGTAAAACACCACCTTTACCAGCTGATTTAGAGGATCCGCACCCTTACATGTAAAGAAAATGGAGTTGGGATGCATCCTGTAAGGAAGCCCGTTAAACCCTTGTATTGTTTTTTGTCCCGAAGCCTCCAGAGGTCCATATATCGAGGATGTATCCTATGTATCCCTACTTCCAGCGGATGTTTTGCTTGAGGTTGAACCCCAAACACTAGCCAGGTCCACCCGGCCCGGCCCGGCGATCTTCAGATCCCGGGCGCAGGCTGAAGGCTTCGCCTTGGCGAGTCCCGGTCGCCACGAGCTTCGTCCGGGACAGCGCCACGCGCCCGGCCGGCGCCACCACGCTGCCCGCCTGCCGGCCGTTGCCGAACCAGTGCACCTGGGATGGACGGGACCGACAGGTGAGTTGACCGAGGGAACTTTGGTGTCCGTATAGAGACATGGCTTTTGACCTGCTTAAGTGGCTTGAATACCTCAAACTCGGGCTTTCTCGAACCAGGGCACGCGAAAATGGGTGGTTCAAAGAAAACAGAAGAAGGAACCAAGCCATTTTTGAGTCAAAAGGCCAAAAATGAAGCCCCAAACGCAATTTACCCGTCCCTTAACAACATCTAATATGGTTACTTCATCCTCTAGGAAAAAATCCTTTTGGGGATGGGATGGATGGGCCTGTTTCTCGGGGTCCCACGCCGATCGAATTGTCCACCAGCCAATGGGAAAAACAACAGCGCTGCCTGCGATGACGCTGGGTTGACTTTCCAGGTCGTTTTGTCCTTGGCTGAAGAAGAAGAAAAAGAGCAACAAGTTTCAAGTTTGCCCACCCAACAAGTGATTAGGTTTCTTTTGCTTTTCAAATCTGGCTGCAAGCTGTTCGTTCTCACCTGTACCTGTACCTGCTTGAGCGCCGGCACGGTTTCAAAGTGGTGCGAACGGATTTCGTCCACAGCCACTTGACCTGGTGAAGGTCTGACTTGGAACCACCCCCAACCCCACCTCCCCCCCCCCCCAGCTTTGACCCGCGGCACGCGGCAACGAAGCTCCCGGCCGCGGCCAACCGCGCCGTGGGCGAGGACGCAGTACTCCCGCTGCATTTGGCCCAATGCCAGCTGCAGCCTCAAAGCGATTCCCATCCACCGGAGGCCTCAAGAATTTCCCCGCCGGTTTCTGGAGCTTCCATTTGCTTAAGTCCCCTGGAAAAAATACAAATACATCCGGTAGTGCTAGATTCCCTTTAAAACCAACAAGGGAAAATAACAAATGTTCTTTATTAAGCAAATGGAAGGGAGGCAAAGAAATCTGACAAAAACAATATGTCAGGATACAAGGATACAACAACAAATGATGCGTTTGGATGCGCAGGCTCTTGCTGACATCATGAGCTGGCTTCCCTTGGATATACATTATTGTCCATTTACGTACAAAGGGAAACCATGAACACTGAACAGAAAGCCTCTCTTCAAGGATAGGACAGGAACCTACCTTGGTTTGGGGGTGGGGATGCGGGCTTCCTGATCAAGGTTGCATTTGCAGAATAGTTTTAACAACCAAACCCTTGCGCCATCGTGCTTTTAACATGTTTTAGGGTTTGGCCCAGTCCCTTTTTCGCACCACACCAAAAGGAATTTGATTTGGCTTTCAGAGGTGATTTTGAAGAAAGGGGAAATATGGCGCAATCTGGAGGGAAATGGGGGAAGGAGGGTGCTTCTGGCTAAAGGGTGGGCTGTCGGGCTGCGGGGGAAAGTTTCTGAACAAACCTCGCGCATCGCATTGCAGATGAAAGTCACAGGGCTGCATAGGAAGCATCAAGCTGATGGACGTGACGCCGATTCGCTTCCGCGATTGAAAGCAAATATCTCCCGAACTTCTTGTGGCTTTTAAAGGGTCCGCCACAAACTGCCCCCCTTTTGGAACAAACATTGAGGGAATTCTTGGGCGGTGCTTCCAGCACATGCCCCCACTAACACACCACAAGAACAAGGCGAGCATGGCAAAAGCAAAAGAGAGATACAACAGAGATACAACCGACTTAAAGGAAGGGAAAAGTGGTTGAGACCTCCATTTGCTTAAACCACCTGGGAAAAATAATAATAATAAATGTGTCCAATAGCAATAGATCCCCTTTAACACCGACAGGGTTTTAACAAAAAAACACCTCCTTCGGCAAAAATGGAAGAAGTTGAGGCACAAAGCCCGGCTGAGGCTGTGCCCTGGCCTCAGGTCGTAGAAGGCGGCGTGGGTCTTGGCCACCAGCACCAGGCCCGAGGTCGGGATGTCCAGGCCTCAGCTGCAGGGCTCAAGCCGCCGTCCATCGAGCGCGCCCAATGGCTCCCACCGGTGAGTCATAAATTCGAGACCCGGTGCTAAAACGGGAATCCAATTAGACATGAATCGAGAATTAAGAAGGCGGATGTCCAAAACTATCTAAATGGTTGGGATTGTCGCAAGCTTCATTTACCCGGGTGTTGATTGTGGCTCAGGTTGGGATGTGCGAAGATGGTTTCAGCTACCCACCAGGCCCTACAGTGGCTGAACGGGAGAGGTACCTCCACCAGCGGAGGTAAACTGTATTGCAGCTTGTGTTCGGGCCACGGTGGCTTGCGGCCAGTGGAGGTATCTTACACACATGCCCCTATGTACAACCAAACGACTCCATGATGGCCATGCTTAGTGGGAAAACCACAAGGGTGCCACTGAACCAATGGGTCCAAGCTTGGTTGCTGTTGACCCCCCTGCAAAAAGTTGACAACTGTTGGGAGTTTAGCGGTCCCCTGGTGGGTTAATTTCGCCCCATACCCATTTCCCAAAACAGCTTAAGTAGAAACAATCCAACCCAATACTGTGGATGGACGAAATTCCGCACCACCTAAGAAACCCTGGAATGATGATCCCCCTGTAAATGCCAACAAACGTTGTGGTTTCTGCATGGCCTCAAAGTGGTGCACAGCAGGGTCTCTGCACTTCACCGCTTCACTAAGCCGCGCCGCGGTGGAGGAATCCTCTGCCATGCCGGAGGTCGCTCAGCAGCGGCCACTGCCGTGGTGGGAGCAGTGCCTGCGCTGGCCAGGGGCCTAGGGAACCTGGGGATTTCTTGGGTTGGGGTGGGATCTGAAAGGTGACAATAATTGGAACCTGTTCTCCCTGGTTGATAGTCTATGTTTCGGTGGAATTGTAACCAACAAGAAGGGGCATCGGCTTGCACATCCTTGCCGTGCCCCAACAATGCGCCAGGCGAACCCCCACCGAAACTCCCCCGGGCCCGCACTTCCCAGATTCAATCGGGGAAAGGGCACAGTGATACCCGCTTGGTTAGGGACAGAGGACAGCTTTGGGGACGAACCAACATAAACCAACAGCCCAACCAACCAACCAGCCAGCCAGCCCACCAGCCAACCAGCCGATTGGGCCAACTAGCCAAACAGCCAACCAGCCAACCATCCAAGCAACTACCCAACCACCAGCCAAAGAGCCAACCCAGCCACAGTTTAATTAATCAACAAGCCACCCAGCCATCCACCCAGCCTGCCAACCAACAGCTGCACATGTCACACCCTGACCCAAATTCGCAGTTGTGTTTTTGGCACGTGGCTCGCAGCACTTGGGCTTGAAGTCATGCAAGCCTTCCCCAGGGGAACGCCGAAACATAGACGATCGATACTCACCCAAAGTCAACTTGTTGGTGGCATAACCCATAAAACAAACAATGTAGACAAAGATGAGGCAAACAGGTCGGCTTTGGGCAAGTGAGCGGATCGAAGCTTCAAACAATCTGTGAGCTTCTAAAACGCTCTGAGGAAGGAGAAGGCAGGTTTCACTCTGGGAGTGCTGCTTACAACTTCAGAGAAAATTCAGGCCATTTGCCATCTCAGCCTCTGAGCGAGCAACACAGCCAGAATTGGGTTTTCTCTTCTGCGGAAGCGACTGCAGTGTTCCAAACTGGAACATAGACATGGTGCACTGGACATCTTGACTGAGCCTCACATGCTCTTTACCAGCTCACTGGCGCAACCGCCACAGCGGACGCAGCAAGCAGCCCATTTTGCTTTCCACCTGGAGGGTCATACTCGTTGGGTCCCAAAGTCGTTTCATCGCAAGAGGCTGCTAACAATTCCCGGCGTCCCAAATTTCAGTGCAGATGTCAATTCTTGCTTCCCTCTCTTGGCACCGGTTCGGCGTTTTGAGGGTGGGTCCACGGCCCAAGCAAACAAAGCGATAAAGAATCAATCCAAGAACGATATTCCACTAGACCACAACTGAACCTAGCTACAATTCATCAACCAAACAAACAAGCAAGAAAGCAAACCAACACACACACACACACAGCAAAAACAAAAGCAAGCAGGCAGGCAGGCAGGCAGGCAGGCAGGCAGGCAGGCAGGCAGGCAGGCAGGCAGGCAGGCAGGCAGGCAAACAGGCAAACAGGCAATCAAGAAAGAAGACCAAGCAACACACAAAACAAACAAACAAGCAAACAAGCAAGCAAGCACACAACCAAACTAACAAACAACCAACCGACCAACCAGCCAAACAAGCAAACAAACAAACAACGCAACACACACACACACACACAACAATGCTACTGCTACACAACAAACCCCAACACAGCACAGCACAGCACAACACAAAACCAGCCAAACAAACAAACAACCAAACAACGCAAACGCACACACACACACAACCCAACCAAACCAAACCAAACCACACCCAACCAACTTGACCAACCCACCCGACCAAATCAACACAACCAACAAAATCAACACAACCAACGCAACCAACGCAACCAACACAACCAACAAAACCAACTCACCGACACAACGACCACAACCAACCAACCAACCAACCAACCAACCAACCAACCAACGAACCAACGAACCAACGAACCAACCAACCAACCAACCAACCAACCAACCAACCCGCCAATCAACCAACACAACCAACCAATCAAACCAAATATCAACGCTAATTAGATGGATCAAATCGAATTCAATCGATTCAAATCCAATCAATCAATTAATTAATCAATTAATCCCTCAAATCAATCAAATCAATGAATCAAATCAAATCAAATCAAATCAATCATCTGAAATCAAATCAAATCAAATCAAATCAAATCAATCAAGCAATGAATCAGTCAGTCAATCAATCAATCAAACAACCATCCAAGCAACCAACCAACCAACAGACCAATCAATCAATTAAATCAATCAATCAATCAATCAATCAATCAATCAATCAATCAATCAATCAATCAATCAATCAATCAATCAATCAATCAATCAATCAAATCAAATCAAATCAAATCAAATCAAATCAAATCAAATCAAATCAAATCAATCAATCAATCAATCAATCAATCAATCAAATCCACCAATCCACCCATCCATCAATCCATTAGTCCATCAATCCAGCAATCCATCAATTCATTTATCCATCCATCCATCCATCCAGCCATCCAGCCATCCATGCATCCATCCAATCAATCAATCAATCAATCAATCAATCAATCAATCAATCAATCAATCAATCAATCAATCAATCAACCAAATCAATCAATCAACTCAATTAATCAAACAACTCAATTAATCAAACAACTCAATCAAACACGCAAACACAACCACACACACAAAAAAAAAACAGCTACCTTAAACAAATGGTGAGCACACTCAAATAGCCGGCGCTTGTCAATGACTAAAACCAAACTGAAACCTGTGGAACCTGTCGCTAACGTAACCCGCCTCAGCAATAATATCACTGTTGGACTCCGGTTTATACTTAGTGAACCTCAAATGCAGAGTGACACCTTTTTGCCAGTCGAATGGGGGGTAAATGCTGGCAAATATAAAATGTCAAACTATTGATTTAAAGGGATACCTTTGTCCCCACCTCTCTCACCACCTGCAGAATGTGTGCGTTTCCGCCAGGCAGGCCACGCGCGAGCTCGCAGCAGCTGAGGAGGCCGGGGCTCAGCCGAAGGGCCACCTTGGGTGTCTGAACAGCTGCCACCCTGGCCAGCCGAGGCTGACCCCATATTCATAAACCCCAGTTTGTTAATAGGGGGGTGCTTTTTCCTGGGTTTTGTGGGAATCAGACCACTATTGGAGGGGAACACCCCCTAATTCACAAACTGGGGGTGATTCATATGGGGTCGACATTAGAGCGAAAGCATACTTTTGTTCGGAGTCGACAAGGAAAACCACCAACTGCAAGGGGTTTTTAGAGCGTTAACCTCTGAAGTCCAAGACAACACCACCCAGTCACATGGGATGGCAACATCACCGCCATTTCGGGTTCCCTCTGAGAATTTGCAGGACGATAGCCTACATTGGGGAATCATGGTACACAGGTGACACGCAAAGAGGCGCTCGTTCGTTGCAAGCAAACGGCACGGCCAGGTTGCAAACGAGTGAAGCCCTCAAACTTCCCTAGAACACAACCCAGGAAGATTCGACCGGAATCTGATGGCTTCCATGGCCAATGTCAGCTTCAAGTAATACATCCCACCCCCATGAAAGCGCCCAGAATGATTTGATGCCCTGCCAACAGGGGCTCCCCTGATGAGTCACGGTCTCCCCTTGATTCATCCGAAGTTGACACGTGCTAAGCACAGCTCTCGCTGTCTTTCGCAAGAAGATGGCGCATCTGCTCCAGATTTAGCTTGAAGCTTAACATGCTAACCACGCCAACACAGATATCCCATGCTCCACCAGTCTAAGCGTCTTCCCAGCGTGCCCCGCGGCAGCAGGCGCCCACCACGTTGCTGCGGGCGGCGTCGCCCTCCGCTTCACTGCCCAACGAGGCGCCGGTCAGCAGCGCCCGCTGCCAAGACCGGCTGAGACCACCGAGGATCGCGGTGAGGAAGGTCAGATCAGGGCGCAGCCTTGCTGCACAATCGCTTTATGCGGGTAAGCGACGGGAAGGACTATATAAACGAAAGGAAAGTGTACACACACTTTCACCCAACTCTACCCCCAAGGATTCCATTGAAGCTCTCCCAGCAACTATTCAGCCTTGTAAGTGCCATGTCCGGTGGCCTTCTGACATCCATAGAATAGGAAGTCGGAAGCAATGAATCCCTGCTTGAATTTGATGGAGGGTGTCCCGTTTTAGTTTCTTACTTACCACCATATTTTCAACTGATTTGTAATGGTAGCTGATTACTCAGTTCCAGCCCAACGCGAACTGTCAAGATACATATTGAGTTGGGGATGCCGAATTCATCTGCCCCTTTGGTAAAACCAGCGCCATCCAGTGTCAAACGAGTGCTTCGACATGCCTTTTTGTTGTGATTCACTTGCCCCGAGTTTGTCCGAGTCCAAATTGCTTCTTTTGGCAGCCAGTGAGCAAATGTAATCAACCATGTCATTGCTTCATTGAAGGCAAATTTGAGGGAAACTTCCGCTTATCATCAAGCCTGGATTCGTTGACCTTGTGGACAAACAGGGGTGTCCCCCGAAATTGAAATTTCCTCTAAGGGACCCCCCCGAATTCTGTAAGGGTTACAGATCCCAGATTCAAATCTGCAAATTCTAGAAGAATTGCAGTAATAAATCCAAAGCCAATTGTTCAGATTGAACCTTTTCTGCATACTCTTGAGGTACATGCCCATTTAGTAGATGTTTCATGTTTTCTTTTTTTTTTTTAAATCATCAACTTTGGTTTCAGTTTACTGGCTATAGGTTCCTCTACCTTCGAGGAGAGAAATTGATCCGCTTCAACAGTAAAAGTACCTGCTGTGTTTGTAAGACATGGCCGGGGTGCTTCTGATTTGCTTGTCGAGCAGCCTTTGGTGGCCGATGCCCTCCAGCAGCCAGAGGGAGTGTGCCCAAAGCGCCTACGGCGCTTTAGCGTTCTCTTTGGATGGGCGAGGGGGCGAGGATGGGACACCAAAAAATGGGAGGGTTGAAGTTGGCACAAGTTCCTGTTGGGTGGGTAACGTGGTGACTAAATTACAGCAAAAGGAGGGAATTGTGTCATCTTCTTTCAACCCAACTGCGTGTAAGTAGGTTATAGCCAGGGTCATAAAGAGGCCTAACCTGCTACTGCCGACCAGTTGC